TCCATTGTGTACATGTACCACATCTTCTTTATCCATTTCTCAGTTCATGGACATTTATGTTGCTCCCCTCTCAGGGGTATTGTAAATAGTACTGCAGTGAACAATGGTGTGGATGTATCTTTTGAATTATGGTTTTCATTGTGTATATGTCCAGAGTGGGATGGCAGGGTCATATGGTAGTTCTATTTTTAGTATTTTAAGGAATCTCCCTGCTGTTATTCATAGTGGCTGTATCAGTTTACATTCCCACAAACAGTGTAGGAACATTCCCCTTCCTTCTGCAGCATTTATTGGTTGTAGATGTTTTTTTTTACTCTTTTTAATTGGATGGTGGCTTTACACTGCTGTATTGATTTCTGCTATAAAACAACGTGACTCAGCTGTAAGTATACATATATTCTCTGCCTCTTGAGCCTCCCTCAATTTCATTCCTTTTTTTGACTGAGTAAATTTTCTGTGTGTGTGTGTTTGTGTATCACAACTTCTTTATCCATGCATCTGTTGATGGACATCTAGGTTGCTTCCATGTTCTGGCTATTAGAAATAGCGCTGCTGTGAACAGTGGAGTACATGTGTCTTTTTCTCTTCATATATGCCCAGTATGCCCAGTAGTGGGATTACTGGGTCTTATGGTAGTTTTATTCCTAGTTTTCTAAGGAATCTCCATACTCTGCTCCATAATGGCTATGTCAATATATAGTGACACCAACAGAGTAGGAGGGTTCCCTTTTCTTCACATCTACTCCAGCATTTATTGTTTGTAAATGTTTTTATGATGGCCATTCTGACTGGAGTTAGGTGTGATATCTCATTGTATCATTGATTTGTATTTATCTAACAATTGGACTTCCTGGATGACTCGGTTGGAGAAGGCAATGGCAACCCACTCCAGTACTCTTGCCTGGGAAATCCCATGGACGGAGGAGCCTGGTAGGCTGCAGTCCATGGGGTCGCGAGGAGTTGGACACGACTGAGCGACTTCACTTTCACTTTTCACTTTCATGCACTGGAGAAGGAAATGGCAACCCACTCCAATATTCTTGCCTGGAGAATCCCAAGGATGGGAGCCTAGTGGGCTGCCGTCTGTGGGGTCGCACAGAGTCAGACACGACTGACATGACTTAGCAGCAGCAGCAGCAGGCTGACTCAGTGGTAAAGAATTCACTGCAGTGCAAGAGATGCAGGTTGGATCCCTGGATCAGGAAGATTTTCTCAATTAGGAAATGGCAACCAATGAAGTATTCTTGCCTGGAAAATTCCATGGACAGAAGAGCCCAGTGGGCTACTCTCCATGGAGTCCCAAAGAGTCGTACATGATTGAGCGAATGTGCACACATAGCACAAACTATCTCATCCTTCCTGCAGCCAGTCACAGGCGAGGATGGTCAGATTATCTCCCTGTGAGCTGAAGAAAGGCACTTTAGCCCAACAGTCAGGCAGAGCAGCTGGGTTTACTGAGGCAGGGATTTATGTATGATTATAGAAACAACAGCAATGAAAAACAAGTCAAATAAACCATTCCAATATGGAGTCAGAATTGCTTCTTCTCCCCACCAATATTTGCATGGTGTATATTTTCCATCCTTTTACATTTAATCTGTGAAAATGAAAGTCACTCAGTTGTGTCTGACTCTTAGCGACCTCATGAACTGTAGCCCACCAGGCTCCCCTTTCCATGGAATTCTCCAGGCAAGAATACTGGAATGGGTAGCTGTTCCTTTCTCCAGGGGATTTTCCCAACCCAGGGATCAAACCCAGGTCTTCCACATTTCAGGCAGATTCTTTACCATCTGAGCCCTTTTATCTGCGGATATCATATTAAAATATTTTTTATAGATTCATGTCAATGTATGGCAAAAACCACTACAATATTATAATTAGCCTCCAACTAATAATAATAAATGGAAAAAATAAAAATAAATAAAATAAAATATTTTTTATAGGCAGCATATTTTTAGGTCATGAATTTTTTCCTCCATGAAGTAGAATTATTTCTACTTCTGCCTTTGAAATGAGGTTCTTAAACAAGGGACTAGTAAACTATGGCCTTGTTTGTCATAAATAACATTTTATTAGAACAGAACCACATCCATTTCTTTGTGTATTGTGTGGGGCTGCTTTTGTGCTACAACAGCAGAGTTAACCTAGTTGCAACAGAAACTTTGTAACTTGCAAAGGTCAACTATTTACTATCTGGCCCTTTAAGAAACTTTTGCTGATCTTTCCTTTACACCTTTATATCTGTTGTAATTCTTCATATGGATGGTTTAAATCTACTGTTTTGCTGTTGTCTCATCTGTCCCTTGTTCCCTTTCCTCTTTTCCTGCTATCTTTTGACTAGTGAAAGTTTTTTTGTTTTGTTTAATAATTTCACCTTGCTTCCTTTCTTGGCTTAGTAATCATAACTAATTTTTGTGTTGTTTAACTTTAGTTTATACTGTATATCTTCACAGTCTACCTTCAAGCATTACATCTTTTACACACAGTGTAAGAACTTGGACAATTCACTTTCCTGGTCATCTCCTGGTCTTTTAGCTATTGTTTTCATGTATTATATTTCACCAATACATATATTATAAAACCAGGAATGTTTTTATTACTTTTGCTTCAAGCAATCAGTTGTCTTTTTTTTTTTATCAGTTGTCTTTTAAAGAGATGTAATAGTGAGGTAAATGTCTTTATATCATTTCCCATTATACTTAACTACTACTGGTGCTCTTCACTGTTTCCTGTAGATCCATACCTTAATCTGGTACCATTTTCTTTTGACTTGAAGGATTTCCTTTACATTCCTTTCACATTTCTTGTATATGGTTCCTCTGGTGACAAATCTTTTAATGTTATGCATATTTCAGTCTTTATTTCATGTTTAGGGGGAGCAGGCAATCACTTGTTTGCTGGTTAGATTTGGATTTTTTTTCCTCCAGTTTTATTGAGATATAATTGGAATATAACATCAGTTTTAGGTGTGCAACATAGTGATTTTATATATATTAATGTATATATATATATATATAATGCAAAATGATTATCACAGTAAGTTTAGTTAACTTCCATAACCTCATAAAGTTAACAGATTTTTTTCCTGTGATGAGAAATTTTAAGACCTACTGTCTTAGCAGCTTACAGTTCTGCAATGCAGTGTTATCAGTTATACTCAGAAAGGTGTACATGATATCCTCAGGACTTTCAGTATAACTGGAATTTTGTACCTTTTCACCACCTTCTTCTACTTTCCCCACCAATAGCCACCTCCTCTGACCACTACCAATCCGTTCTCTATATCTATGTTTGGGGGTTTTATTTATTTTTTATTAATTTTTTTGATGTTGTACCTTTTTATTCCAAATCTACCTTGCTTAACATACTGCCCCCTATCTCTTATTTGGTGACACATAGAAACAGTCTTGATATCAACCTATGTTACAGGTTCGCTTTGCTATTTCTTTGGTCTGAGAAAATGTTGGGGCTTACATTTGGAAAAATAAATGAAAGGATAGACTGACAGAACTATTATATTTTATTTAAAGGTTTTAAAAGATACAGGGCAGAGCTCACAAAAGTTAGCTGAATCATTAAAAACCATAAAGTTGGAAAACGGTTTTTTTAAAAGAGTGGATACCAAAATAGTTTTAAGGAAGCGGATAACCTATAAGCCTTTTAAATTACTGAAGAAAGCAAAAGAAGGCTTAAAATCTGAAGGTTAAAAGTTATATTTATAAACATGCTAAAGAATACATTAAAAGAAATAAAAAAGAATGAAGAAAATATACTGTGTCTTAATCCTATTATACTTATATGTCTTATTACATCATTTTCAGGGGATTCTACAGTCCACTTTAACAATATTCATACAACAAAAACAATAACTGAAAGAGCTTCAACACTCTTTGGAGCTGGCTATTACAGAATTCATCCTGTATATAGGGTATATGCATGAAAAACATCCTGGAAACTCAGAATATCTGCAAACATGAAACTGTTTCTCCAAATTGCGCTTTTTGGTCTTGAATCTGGTAGAGTGGGGGTCAGCTACAACTTGAAGCTTACCATTGTGGGATGGGAGAGCAATTTGAAGTCAAAGGGCACTTTGCTATAGTTAAATATTCTGTAAGCTTCTCCTCAATGCCACATATCTACTGAGAATTAAAGAGTAAATGAAATTTTCTAACCAGTTACAAGAATCCATATAATAAAGGGTAATCACTACAGGATTTATACATACTCAGTTTTCTTAAAGCCATAGATTTTATTATAGAAAGAAGAAAGAAAATGGCATTAATAGATCAAGCACATGAATTCCAGAATACTGAATTCCTTTTCCTCTTTTTTTAAAATTTCTTTTCCTCTTGCTTAACAACCAGTTATATCCAAGGACTGTAAAATTACATCCATGACAAAAATTTTAGTGCTTTGTGTATTGTCGAAGAAAGATCAATATCCTTGCCTGAGTGTCCCATTAACTTTCACCTAGAGCTGTTCTTTTTAACTGTCTATAAAAGTTTCTTTTCAAATAATATATTAATTATAACAACTGGGAAGAGCAGTGTGAGGACCTGAATACTTCAGCCAAGCAGTGAAGGCAGCAAACTTCCTTCCAACCTGCTCTCGTGCTGGGATTTTTATATACTTAAATAAGCTTTCTCCCTCACTTCTGCAGGGCTACCAGAAAAGAGTGGCATTTCTTGGCCATCACAAGTCTCAGGTAGAATCTTCTCTGTTCCTCAATGTTTGGACAAAGGCTTCTGGACATGAAGTTCATGCCTCTGATAACTCAGTCTCGTTCTCAATAAGAGAGATCTCCAATTCAGGTAAAAGTCACTGAAAGACATCCAGAATGTAGGAAGCACTGTTTGATGCCTCTAGTGATTAGTGGATTAAGGACATCAGCCTTTTCCTTAACTCCAGCAGCTGTTAGGCAGTTCAGCTTTAGACAGAGAGGCCAATTCTTGACACAACAAAACTCATCTGGCAAAGGGCTCTGCTCCTTTCTGTGGTTGTTACTTCCTGCTTCCAGCCGTGCAGAACCGGAGCAACTGTTTTGTGAAGTAGTTCAAGTGAGCAGGCAGTTCTGCTAGGCTCCGGATTGCAAATGCACGGATATCCTCTATTGAATTGTTATTGATTTGCTCAGGTTTTTCTGCTTCCAACTGTTTTTCTCCTTCTCCCACTCTTCCAATGGTTTCCATCTCTTCCAGAGATGTCCTGATCCATTCATAGGCTGTATATCTTGCCCTGGCAAGTTTCTCTGGTTTGGAGGAGACATGCAGCTGAGAAAATAGCTCTGATATCTCTTCAGTAAAGTCTTCATTCCCTTTCTTCTCTTCTTCATAGAACTCTGCTAGAGAAAATGCTTCTTTAAGTCGCTCCAATTCAAGTTTTAGAGTCTCTAATTCTTCTCCACTTAGAGAATTAAGAATAGATTTCACCTTTATTTCACTTTCTTGAGAGAGCATCTCCAGAGCTTCTATAAGTGAAAGGCCTTGAAATTCATCAAAGGGTAGCCCATAATGAATTTTCTTGTCTGTTTCCATGGTAACTTCTTTGGAAGTTCATAGCTCTTCTTTCTCCTTTGCCTCTTGTAAAACCTGAGAGTGTAGATCAGAAGTCTGGTTCATCAGACCCTTGGTTCTTTTAAATCCAGGATCCCCTTCTGCTGTTACATCCATTGTCTTTTTTCCAATGAATTCTAAGGCATCCAAACTCCCACTGATAACACTCTTTCCTGTGCTCTGAACAGCAGTAGAGATGGTCAAGAATACTCCAAATGGCCCACTCATTGGAGAGGAGTTTCCATTCTCTTTGGCATTTGTCTCTCATGTTGCATACTGGACTTCAGTTGAAATTTCACTGGGACTAGGGATTCCAAGGGAGGTCTCTGCCTTCTCAATGACATTTGAAATACCTTGTCCTACCTGAGGCTGAGGAGAGCAAGGACTTGCCCCAACTGCCGCAGTAGCCCCATCCAGAGTTGGGTACATCTTTGGAAACAGTCTCTTGGCCTGCAGCCTGTGATGCCTGAATAGGAAGAACTTCTGTGTCAAGGTCACGGGAAGGTTTGGACTCTGGTCTTTTCTGAGTAGAAGCTATAGATTCTGATTTACTCTGACTTGGCACTTTGGTCAACTGACTCAAAATTCTTGGCTGGCTCACAGTTCTCATCTTCATGGATGGGAGTTGCTTCAGTTATCACTGCAGTCTCAAGATCATCTTTATCCGATGTGATTAGATCATTGCCCAGGCCACCTCCTTCCTCACCGCAGCCACAGCCTCCTCTGAGGAGCTGCTCCTACTTATTTTTTTATTAATTTTTAATGCAACATAGTTGCTTTACAGTGTTTTAGTTTCTGTTGTACAGAAAGTGAATCAGCAACATGTTTATATATGTCCCCTGTTGTTGGATTTCCTTCCCATTTAGGTCACCATAGACCATTGAGTAGAGTTCCCTGAGCATTTTACCAGGTTCTCATTATTTATGTATTTTATGCATAGTGCCAATAGTACACATATGTCAGTCCAAATTTCCCAGTTCATTCCACCCTACCTCCTCCATCTTGGTGTCCATACGTTTGTTGTCTGTGTATGTCTGTGTGCAAATAGGATCATCTATACCATTTTCCTAGATTCCATGTCCATGATTTAGTATACGATATTTGCTTTTCTCTTTCTGACATATTGAACTCTGTATGACTGTCTGTAGGTCCATCCATGTCTCTGCAGATGACACAGTTTCTCTCCTTTTTCTAACTAAGTAATATTCTATTGTGTATTTGTACCACATCTTTATCTATTCCTCTGTTGATGGAAATTTACCTTGCTTCCCTCTCCTGGATATTGTAAATAGTGCTGCAATGAACAATGGTGTGGATGTATCTTTTGAATTATGGTTTTCATTGTGTATTTGCCCAGAAGTGGTATTGCAGGGTCATATGGTAGTTCTATTTTTTTTTTTTTTGCATACCAACAGCACATTTATTTTTAACTGAAAGCAAAAGATAATAAAAGAATGATGAATATTCCATAGATTTGAATTTACCAAATGAAAATGTTTGATTCTTTTAGCAAATTAGTAGGTATGTCTTCAATGTTAATGTTTAGGGTGTTTACCTCACCTCTGTGAGCACTGATTCTTTTAGCAAATTAGTAGGTATGTCTTCAATGTTAATGTTTAGGGTGTTTACCTCACCTCTGTGAGCATTTTAAATCTTGGAAAAAGAGCTAAAATCAACACAGGGAATTTAACAGAGTTAAGTGAAAGTTACACATTCATAAAGCAAATATTAACTATAGGAAAGTATGAGCTGAGTCAGACAACTCAGTAGTAATTCATTTGAAAAGATCAAAGAACTTAGGCAATAAGTTCAAAGTAAGACAAAAAGGTGTGGTAAATATGTTTTCAATACATATACTTTAACCTAGTTAATTAGCACTTGGGGATTAATATACAATTGAGTGTTGAGATCTACCTATTATATTTAAAAATGAATATCACCTCAATGGCAAAATCTTTGCTAGATACTACAGAGAATGAAAAGCAAGGAAAAACGTATATTCCCTAGAAGAATAATCATTGTGGGAGGTCGTAGGAAACTTGAGTGAAGTGTCAAGTACACTAATAGTAAAAATACCAAGTAGATTCAGAAGTGAGAAAAATGCCTTCAAAAGAATGTTTAGACCAGCCAGCTTGAAGTGTATCAACAAATTATATATAGGAAATATTATATATAGAAAGTCTCAGCTCAGAACTCCCTTCTTATTTGAATAGGTTATAGAAGAAAGGCTAGTTTGCAAAGCAATATAAAAAAGGAAAACAAAAGGAGATTGATAGGTTGGAAGAAAACAAAAGAATAAAATTACTGAATGTTTTGATTCCTGGAATATTAAGGAAACGGAAAAGTCATGAATTATTCAAGGAGATTTTCCAAAAGAAAAATATAGGTTTGGAATTCAAGAGATTATCTCCACAGCTGTGATAATTAAAGTTTTACAGGTAAAGTAAGAGAGAGAATTAAAATATACATACACACACACTCAAAATCCAGCCAAGAGCATACTCTTAGGTAATGATCTCTTATAGGGGAAGGAGAAATAAAAGGAACTAACAGAGGACAATTTATGGAGATGGGAAGGGAACCAACATACTTCAGTATTACAAAGAGAGAGTACAAAGAGGTGTTCCTCGGGGGTGGAGTGAACCGTGGAAGTTATTTGGGCTTTTCACAAATGTTTGGTTCTCTCCTGGTCACATAAGATTATTCTTCCTGCCTGTGCCTCACCACTCCCCCACTTAATTCAGGAATGGCCAAGTGGCTTAGTTGACCAATAAAATATGAATGGAAGTAACCTGTGTCACTCCCAGATGAACCTTTGAATGCCAGAGCATCCAGTCACAGGCAGCATTCCAGAAAGTTCTGCTCTACAGGTTAGCGTTCCAGGAGTGAGGATAACATAGATCTTCTAGATGATTCTCACTGAACATGTATTTTGACAATCATAGTTTTTAAAATCTTTTGTTTTATTTTTTTAAGTTATGAAATTATAACACATTTATAAGAGACTTGGAAAATACAGAACAAAGTTACATATGGTTCACTATATGTGACAATTGTTTAAGTAGATAAATTAAGATTTTTAGTTGGAGTTTTAATATCAAACTCAAATTGAATGAATGTTCAGAAAAGTAGAATAATACAGTAGACCTGAAAAGCATTACGAAGCAATTCAACATAATTAAGGTTTATACAATTTTCACACAACAGTAGGATACAAATTCTCTTCAAGTTCCCATAGACTGTAAACTAGGAGACACTGGAACATATCCAGAGACATAAGACCAGGTACAGAAATGTCATGATCTACAGGTATTGAAATCATACAGATCTGTTCTCTTACTACTGTGGAATAATGTTAGAGGCCAATATCAAAAGGTATTTGAAAATAACCTACATATTTTCAAGTTCCATGTGACATTTACCAAGAGAGATCTTTGACTTAGCTGTTGAAACTCTTGATAAAGTTCGAAGACTGAAAAAACATGGAGGGTGATTGCAGAGAGTAAAGGATTTAAGTGGGAAATTAGTATCAAAATGAGAAATAATAGCAAGATCTTTTAAAAATCCCATGTGTTTGGAAATTAAATGTCCAGTTTTAGATGAGGGTATATCTAAGAAGCCATAACAAGGAAAATTAGAAAATATTTGTAATAGAATAAAAATGAAAAGAGAATTTACCAGAATGTGCTGCATGTAGCTGAAGCTGCTCAATGCAATAAAATGTGGAGTCTTGAATAAGGTATGAAAACAATAATGGAAACATGATTAACCTAACCATATAGATAAAATAATTACATACAATTATGGGAGTTAGATAGAATGATGTGGTAATATGTTTTCATTTACCCAGCCAGTCTCTATCTTTTGGTTAATGCATTTAATCCATTTCCATTTAAGGTAATTATCAGTATGTATGATCCTTTACTATTTTCTTAATTGTTTTAGATTTATTCTGTGTAAGTCTTTTCCTTCTCTTGTGTCTCTTGCTTAGAGATGTTCCTTTAGCCTATATTGTAAAGCTGGTTTGGGGGTGCTGAACTCTCTTAACTTTTGTTTGTCTGGAAAGCTTTTCATTTCTCCATCAAATCTGAATGAGAGTCTCGCTGGGTAGACTATTCTTGGTTGTAGGTTCTTCTCTTTTATCCCTTTAAATATATCATGCCATTTCCTTCTAGCTTCCCTGGTAGCTCAGTTGGTAAAGAATCTGCCTGCAATGCAGGAGGCCCTGGTTCAATTCCTGGGCCAGGAAGATCCCCTGGAGAAGGGATAGGTTGCTCACTCCAGTATTCTTGGGCTTCCCTTGTGGCTCAGCTGGTAAAGAATCTGCCTACAGTGCAGGAGACCTGGGTTTGATCCCCAGATTGGGAAGATCCCCTGGAGAAGGGAAAGGCTACCCACTCCAGCTCTGGCCTGGAGAATTCCATGGACTATACAAGGTCACAAAGAGTCATATACGACTGAGCAACATTCACTTTTCACTTTCTAGAGTTTCTGTTGCAAAATCAGCTGATAACCTTATGGGAGTTTCCTCATATGTTGTTTGTTGTTTTTCAATTGTTGCTTTTAATGCATTTCCTTTGTCTTTAATTTTTGTCAGTTTGATTACTGTATATCTCAGTGTATTCCTCCTTGAGTTTATCCTGCCTGAGACTCTCTATGCTTCTGGACTTCCTTGACTGTTTCCTTTCCTATGTTAGGAAAGTTTCCAGCTATTATTTCTTTAAATATTTTCTCAGGTCCTTTCTCTCTCCTTCTTCTGGGATGCCTTTAATGTGAATGTCAGTGCATTTCATGTTGTCCCAGAGGTCTCTTGGAGGTGAAAGTGAAAGTTGCTCAGTTGTGTCCAACTCTGCAACTCCATGGTCTGTAGAGTCCATGGAATTCTCCAGGCCAGAATACTGGAG